CTGGCTGCACTTCTTCCAAAACAGATCTATTGGTTCTTTTGGCAGTCCATGGCACTTTCAGTATTCTCCTCCAACACCACAACTCAAATATGCCAGTGTATAAATATTAAAAGTTTAAGGATATATAACTAAGAATTAATAGTTTCTCCCTGGTTATTTCACTGACCTCTTAACACATTTCTAAATTTCTCTATAATACACAATGCATTTCATCATAAGACTTTTTTTTTTTTTTTCATCTCTGTTTAATCAACTTCTCAATTCATCTCAAATCAGGTGTTCCCCAGGTCCACAGAATACTTTATAATGAGCATGAATTAATAGAATAATTCACAAGTAGACTACTTATATAATATTTAAGGATTAAACCATGATCATTTTGGAAAGGGCAGTTTTACCTTCGTGAGAGATTTCCTTCCAGGGATTTGGTGGATACATGAAAGCTGCATTCTGGATTTGGTCATGTATGTCTTCGTCTTCATTAAATGGGAATGTGCCACTGAGGCTTACATAGATGATAACGCCAACAGACCACATGTCTAGAGAGCGATTATAACCCTTGTTCCTTAGAACCTCTGGAGCCAAGTAAGCTGGGGTGCCCACCACTGACCTCCGGAAAGATTTCTCTCCGATGATCCGGGCAAAACCGAAATCACAAAGTTTCACCTGTGACAATGTATTGGATTGCAGAAATGGTTAGTTCACAAATTGTGTGCTTGTAAGTCTTAGCCCAGCTCTGCCATACACTATTAACTAGAATACTTCACATAAAATCATATGGATTTCTCATGAAAGAATTAAGAGCTAGTCTCTGTTTTCTGTGCACGAAGACACTGGTTTATGTCCTGAAATAAAGAATATGTCTTTTTTCTTTAAAAACATATCCTTTAAAAAGATCCCCTAAACATTCTCCCCATTCTCCAATTAAGAGATAAATGTGAAAATAAATATTTAGGGAATAGGTAATAACAGGTAATACTGTTCTCGGAATCCTGGTATGGCACCATGGGTTAATGCGCTAGACTGCAATATTGGTTTGAATTGCAAAGTCAGCGGTCCAAGCTCACCAGCTGCTCTTTGGACATGCTATACAGGGTTGCTAGGGGTTGGAACTGACTCAATGGCACTTAACAACAACAACAATACTATTCTTGGAGTCCTGGTGTGGTGCTGTTGGTTAATGCACTAAATTACAATGTCAGTTTGAACCACAAGGTCAGCAGTTCAAACTCACCAGC